TCCACATTGGATGATGGAGGCCAATACTCAATATCCTGAGAATGTGAACGTTTGGGCTGGAATTATAAATTCTCAAATTATTGGACCATATTTCTTTGATGGTTCCAGAGTAAAGAATGCTTTTCCCAGATGATGACAACCCCAATGAAATTGAGAGAAATATTTGGTTTCAGCAGGACGGAGCTACACCACATTTTTCAGTGGAGGTAAGAGCCTATCTGAATCAAGTTTTTCCCAATAGATGGATCGGAAGACGCGGTGAAATAGAGTGCCTTGCTCGTTCTCCCGATTTGACTCCGCTTGACGATTTTTTATGGGGTTACTTAAAATCGAAAGTCTACTTCAACAGACCAAATAACGTAGAAGGTTTAAGACAGAATAAGGCAAGAAATTAATCACATCACCCCGGAAACAATACAAAATGTTTTAGAAGAATTTCAGCAACGCCTCCACTATTGTCAAGAAGCAACGTGGCCGCCCAGTTTGAACATTTAATTTAAATTGTTCTTCTGTTCTGTTTCATGTTATTTTCTTTACTTAGTAACATTAAAAATGTAATATTTTTCAATAAAAAAATTATAGAAATTAAAAAAATCTTATGTTGCTGGATGGAGAATTAAAAACTCTTTCAAATGAGCTATCACACGAACCCTCGTTCCATTTAAAAATTTTAAAGGGGTAGCTGTCACTCCAAGGGGGGTTTGAGGGGGGAGGTATAAAATTATGCTCAAAAAAATGTCATTCTAGAATTAAAAATAGCCTGTTTCAGGATTTTACTCATAAATTGTAAATTACGTAGATAATGAATTTATCCATTACTTATGGACCTCACTGTATAAATACCATGTGTCTGTATTTGTACGGCGATTTTATTGATAACTTTCAAAGCGTGAGAGGTAAAAGGTCGCTTAAACAATAAAATATGTTTATCTAATAATGTAATTATGTTGAATTCGTCATAGAACATTGAGTTTATCGAGTGAAGAATTTTGTTAAAGCAATTAAATTAAATAAGACAGTTATACGTCAACTAGCTGACCTAGTCGTTACCCAATACACTCTGTACAAAATAAAAACCGATGCACGTTACCGATAACGCTATTAAGTGTGTGCTGTGATACCACCACTCAATTATATTGAAATAAAAACTATTATGGAATGTTTTATTGAATTTCATATTTCACACTTGATATTCGTTTTTATGCAGTTGGCAGCAGATCCCAAGTTGCCGTGTTGTACATTAACTTGACATTTATTGACAGTTTGAAATTTTCTGAACAGTGGTTTGTATCTTTTGGGCTTCAAACTTTTATCTTACATTGGAAAACTATTATATTCAGAACAATCAAAATGGTATAGATCAGACTTCCGTTCGCCAAATGCCAAAACAGTTGAACAGCATTTTAGATTTTGCAATTTCGTCGGTACATTTGAAATCAGAGACACGAAAAACCCCCATTCCAGTAGTTTCGAATAAGCTGGGTTCATACTGCAGTCTAAAAATGGGTTAGAAGGGGTTTTCGTCTGCCATATTGGATCCGCCATTTTGAATTTTGAAATTTCGATTATATAATAAGACTCAGAGACCCCAAAAACCCCATCCAATATCAAAAACTGATTAGAAACCATTTTTTGCGATAAAATTGTTTTTTAAGGATTTAGATCCGCCATGTTGGATCCGCCATTTTAAATTTCGTATTTTCGATGGAGGATTTATAGTTAGCGATCCTAAAAACTATTTAATATGTATTTAGGTGGAATTTTTAAAAAATTATTAACATTTCATTACACTTTTTAATTAATTTTATCTCGAGAACCGACATTGTAGGCGCCATGTTGGATCTGCCATATTGAATTTCTTTAAAGGCCACCAGTTCTTTGAAAGTACATAACTTAACGAACATTTTGAGATCTCAAACATTAAAATCCATCTGCACAAATTTTGGGAGTGCGCGTGATCCGTTTGACATGAAACGTCCCATACGTTCCGATTTTTGTATGTCCTCACACAGTGGTGCAATGTATTATTAATATCGTCTGAGTTGCTTCCGCAGGCAAACTAACTTCGCCGTACTTTAAACTCGCAGCGTTCTGGACCAATTTTCTGAACTCGGGGGTGATCTAATTTTACGAATGGAATATTACACGCTACCGTCATTGTGACTAACTCCAAGTTAAATTGCCTCTGTCTGTCTCGCGCACTCACACCATCACTTATACGAGCTTTACGTTTGTCTGTAGCAACATGCTGCAAAACAGCTGTTTTTACGTGCCACGTCAATACACTGTCACATATGGTACAACGAAGTGCATTAGAGGTCAGTTCCGGAAAATTATTTATACAACGCTCGACCGTAACAACCGACGGACGCTGTCCCGACATTTTTACAAGCTTATTCGACGTTTCGTGCACACGAATGATGATGCATCGACCACCGCAGAGTATATAATACTAAATAAACAAGTATAAATTACGTTCGCCTTCGCTTGGCTGAAGTGGGCGCAGAACATTGCAGACGTATTGTGGAATACGCAGATGTATTGTGGAATACATATAATGGCGTTATTTGAACTACAATTATTGTACTACGTACATATACAGGGTGGGCCATTTCAATCTCCCCACCGGAGTTGCTCAGCACCTAAGCTAGATACGAAAAAAACGTTTAGGCAAAAGTTGGAGGGGGCAGAGGGGGCCACGTATCGGTGGTAATGACTTTGACCTTGAACGTAATTTTCAAGGTTATTCAAATCCTTTTGACCTCGGATTTGAAAAGAGCGGGAAATTGTACATCTAAAATGGTACTTGTCAACAAGGTCATGGCAAGGTCGAATGAAGGTCAAATTTTCCAAAAATTGTTAAATAACGAGGGCTAGCTCGGGATAGAGACTGGAAACAGCAAAATTTTTCTGATTAAAGTTGTCAGGGTCGAATAAGATCACTTCCTGATACCAATGACCTTGACGTTAAACCCGGTTTTTTAGGTTATTTCAAAGTCAAAGTGATATATCAAGCACGAAACCCTACTTTTGATCTCTGATTTGAAAAAAAATAAGAGAAATTCGTCGAAAATGATGTTTTTATCAAGGTGACGATAGCTAGCCCTCGTTATTTAACAATTTTCGAAAATGTGACCTTCATTCGACCTTGCCATGACCTTGTTGACAAGTACCATTTTGGACGTAAAATTTCCCACTCTTTTCAAATCTGGGGTCAAAAGTAGGTGTTCCCATTTAAATAAACCACTTTGACCTTGAAATAACCTTGAAAATCAGGTTCAAGGTCAAAGTTATTGGACCATTACGTGGCCCCCTCTACCCCCTCCAACTTTTGTATAAATGTTTTTTTTTGCCCACCCTATATATAGGAGTTGACGACATAATTTAACAATGTGTAAATTATGACAATATTCCAGTCTTGTGAAGCCCGGTCCTAGAATTTATTATTAACCTACGAACTCTAATAATAACTGATATTGATGTACAAAAAACTACACTGCACTATTTGTAACCGAATGTTGTGAGAAAATCTTTACTTTTTGCTTGCATACAAAACAATGGGGAGCGTTTTTGTCGCCGCTTCTCAAAAACTCAGCTTGGAGCGTTTTTAAAACCAGTCGCTATCGCAGGTCGCAAGTATGACCATCTCCTATAAATAAAACTAAATAAATAAATCGCAGCACAGAAATTGACATTCTCCCTTTAAGAATCATTACAACTGTGCAGAAGGAGAATACACATGGAAAAGACGTAGGACACACAAGCAAACACTATGACAGGTGCCAATTGCCACATTTTGAATCCTTGTTTTTAATTGCTCTTCATCATATTCTAGTGGTTCACGATAAACAATTTGCTTTAAACGTCCCCATAAATAGAAGTCCAATATTGTCAGATCTGGGCTTCTCGGCGGCCATAAAATGATACCATCCCTTCCTACCCAGTGTTCATTAAATTCGGAACTGAGCCAATTATGGACAGTAACGGCATGATGAGCAGGGCACCCATCTTGTTGGAAAAACATTCTCGTTTGATAACTTAAAGGAAGTTCACAACTTTATCTGTTAAAAAATTTTGTAGCATCTCCAAATATGTATTACGATTTAAATTTTCTTTGAAAAAATATGGACCAATAATGCCATTTGTATATGAAACCGCACACCACACATTAACTTTTTTTGAAATATTGTCTTCGACAAGAAATAGTAATGTGGGGATTTGTTTCACTCCAATACCGGCAATACTGAGAGGAAACGACGCCGTTTGTTGAAAAAGTGGATTCATGGGAGAACAAAATTCGCTTATGAAATCCTACGTCTTTTAACACTCTGTTGCCTATCTCCAAACAAAAATCCAAACGTTTGGCTTCATCACCCTCCTCTAAGGTGTGCCTGAATTTTGATTTAAATGGTAAAATCTGGTTCTGCTTGAAAATTCTCTGTAAATGCGATTTACTTATTTCAGTTTCAATTGCCCTTCTTCTAAGTGATAATCTTGGAGCTTCTCTCACGAAATGGAGGGCAAGAACTGAAGCAGCATCATCTTCTTTCAACCATTTTTTTGATTTTTTAATGTCTAAAACAGAGCCTGTTTCCTGTGCAGATATTCATATGGAAAATATACAAATTCAAAAAAGCCCTCTTCGTCACACATAACTACGAAAACTATAGGAAGGATATAATTTTTGAATTTTAAATATAAATTTTAGTCCAGGACTTTTTTTCTAAAATGGCTTAGTTAGTCGATAGATAGGTACTCAGATTTCAGATTCCTCTTCAACATAAGTCCAATAACTTTGAAAATGATTTAATACTTTTGTTGATTGAATACTTTTCTAATACGGTTTGTTGGAAACGTTTTTACTCACGCAGTCGACATACATATCTCCTTCAACTTGTTCGTTGAATCCGAAGCAAAAAAAATAGTGTGGCACAAAAATTATCAGAATTCAAGCAACCTTCAAAAAGTGGCGTATGACGACTTTCGTTGTTGATAGTAATTGCCACAGGCGGGATTCGAACCCGCGCGGATAATAGCTCTCGGAGTAATCGCAATCTTCTCACCTGGCGCTTTACCCACTGAGCTATCGCCGAGGT